GTATTGTTGTGATCCCAGGTCCCAATAGAACATTATAAGAACGGGAAATGGCGGGTAAAAAAGTCATCCCAAAAATCGTGAACTGTATCCTTTAAATTTACGTTTTTGCGAAATTGATATTTTACTTAGTAAATCGTGCTGATTCTCTCTTTGTGATACCTAAGTATCAGGAAAATACCGATTAGGCATATGCATGCGAAGTTCAGACGACGAAACGCTTATTATGATGAGTATATAATGCTGTCCATATACTGTTACTGTGTGTTGGTCTGTTAGATGTTTGTTTGTAATTAACATTTAAAGTGATTTATTTATTTATTTATCTATTTTAATTAAGTGCTGCCAGATGAGGAGAAAGAATTACCACCACCGCCGCCACCGCCACCGCCGTTATTGTTCCCACCACCTCCACCGCCGTTATTGTTCCCGCCACCATTACTACTAGAACTACTCCTGTCTTCTTTTAATGAGGGTCCATAATCTTCACTTTTAATGTTATTGCCTCCAACCTTTCCTCCACTATCGGAGTCAGGCACGCTCTCAACATCATAATCAGAGACGCTATCTTCTTCCACTTCCGGTGGATTAAGAATTCTGTAAATGCAATCGCCGCTCGAAGAATCGCAGTCAATAGTAGGAGGACTTGGAGTTGCTACGTTTATTGAACAGTCAATCCATATAAATTTTTCTTTTCTTTCATCGCCATTTGTGTTGTCGTTGCTGCTGCTTATTACACTAACACTGTCATCATCTTTGCTGCTTATTACATCACTAATACTGTCATCATCTTTGGCAGGTAGGCATTTCGTTGGTAGTGGGCCTACAGTCATATCTACTTCGCTGGAGGAAAATGAAACCGATCCGCTAGAGCATCCATCTACATCATCGCAACAGTTTTCCTTCAAACAAATAAATGAGTACCAAATATTTTTAACAATAACAACATGGTATTAAAATGAGAAATAACAATCATAATCATAATACAAAGTGACAACAATGATAAATTTGTATAAATAATATGAAAACAATCATTTAATAATTATACCAATATAATTATTTCAATAATAAATACATTAATGTCATTATAACTTGTAAATTAACAAATATTAATATTTTACTTGATGTAATAATGCTGTTATATCTTATGATTATTGTATGATTGTACATCATATTCCGTCATATTATTCTATATCTTAAGGTCTAAATTGATGTATTACTATGTTTGTGCTTTATCATATCATTCCTTAAATGTTGTCTTAATCAGTGAAATATATTGACTGTCTCTTATACACATCTAGATGTGTAACATGACTGTACCTAAAGAAGTAAAAAACTTGTATTGCTGAAAAACTATCATAGTCATATACAAAATCAGTGACAGAGGTTGACGCATTAGGGAACATAAAATATATTTCTTTATTGAAAACGTTTATTTTGTCTTTTACTCAGTAGTACAGGTAGTAAGATTCTTTAGCGTTAATGAAATACACAGGATGATTGACACAAGACATTCAAAACGAAGGATAAGTAAAGTTTCTTATAGATTCTTTTTCCAATTACCTGTACATACATCTGTTCACTTGTTTTGCGCTAAGAGACCCTGTGTTTAGCGCTGTACAAATGTATAACATTGAAGCTTTAGATGTTGAGCAGGAATTTGTTGTGCCTTCAATTTAAAAGTAGCTCTGCTCTTTGTCAATCGACATAAGCCTATGTTGTGTGTATGTTATGTATTTTTGTTTATATCGATTGACTTGATATAGTGCATGCGAAGTTCAGACGACGAAACGCTTATTATGATGAGTATATAATGCTGTCCATATACTGTTACTGTGTGTTGGTCTGTTAGATGTTTGTTTGTAATTAACATTTAAAGTGATTTATTTATTTATTTATCTATTTTAATTAAGTGCTGCCAGATGAGGAGAAAGAATTACCACCACCGCCGCCACCGCCACCGCCGTTATTGTTCCCACCACCTCCACCGCCGTTATTGTTCCCGCCACCATTACTACTAGAACTACTCCTGTCTTCTTTTAATGAGGGTCCATAATCTTCACTTTTAATGTTATTGCCTCCAACCTTTCCTCCACTATCGGAGTCAGGCACGCTCTCAACATCATAATCAGAGACGCTATCTTCTTCCACTTCCGGTGGATTAAGAATTCTGTAAATGCAATCGCCGCTCGAAGAATCGCAGTCAATAGTAGGAGGACTTGGAGTTGCTACGTTTATTGAACAGTCAATCCATATAAATTTTTCTTTTCTTTCATCGCCATTTGTGTTGTCGTTGCTGCTGCTTATTACACTAACACTGTCATCATCTTTGCTGCTTATTACATCACTAATACTGTCATCATCTTTGGCAGGTAGGCATTTCGTTGGTAGTGGGCCTACAGTCATATCTACTTCGCTGGAGGAAAATGAAACCGATCCGCTAGAGCATCCATCTACATCATCGCAACAGTTTTCCTTCAAACAAATAAATGAGTACCAAATATTTTTAACAATAACAACATGGTATTAAAATGAGAAATAACAATCATAATCATAATACAAAGTGACAACAATGATAAATTTGTATAAATAATATGAAAACAATCATTTAATAATTATACCAATATAATTATTTCAATAATAAATACATTAATGTCATTATAACTTGTAAATTAACAAATATTAATATTTTACTTGATGTAATAATGCTGTTATATCTTATGATTATTGTATGATTGTACATCATATTCCGTCATATTATTCTATATCTTAAGGTCTAAATTGATGTATTACTATGTTTGTGCTTTATCATATCATTCCTTAAATGTTGTCTTAATCAGTGAAATATATTGACAATAAACCGATTTTGGCATTTCATATTACATATTGCTTCTTTTGTAACAATAGCGTTTCCGCGATTGTATGCATATAGTGTATATTCTTATTACAACTCTATAGAGTATCCAAATTCAACAATATAGCAAAGTTTCTCCACATACACAGACGCTGGTGGCGCTCTCCGAACGTTTCTATTTTCTAACACTAGGGAAAATATACAGTATATAGACTTGTGGGAAGTCTACATCAGTATAATAATAATTACCGAAGGATTTGTAGTTTTGTTTTATCATACATAATTTCATACATTGATTAAGATAATAATGACCATTATTACAAATTACAATTTCTTGAAAAGCAATAGTCGTAAGTTGATATTTTCCCAGGTCTATATTTAGTCTATATTAATTCCCTATAAATAGTCGTAGTCTGTATTCATTTCCTTTATAGTACAGTACTGAAAACAATACTGGAATTGTGCCCGATTCTGTACATAATATTTTTCATCGTCTACGTAAGAAAACACCCACAATTACATTAATATGTTCATGTGTGTGGAGAAATAGATTAAACAAGCAAACAAACATTCACTTTACAAAGCAAACTCATTTACGAAAAAAAATAGTAAAAAGTATAAATTATATTACTTTCCAAACCGATAATCTATATTATGGCAATGCTATTATAAGTATATAAATATATGGGGCGTATATTCGTGGAGAGGTTTCTTCTTATCGTGTCCACAATCTCATTTACAAAATAGCGAAAAATAGCAAAACTTACAATTAAACTACTCTACAAACCGGTAATCTATCGATATTATATATGCATATATCATCAGGAGCGTAGAAATAAGAAGAAAGAAATTTTGAGATAGGCCAATCTATTATTTGTGAAGGAGTGTAAATGGGCATAACCCTGCGGGGCCCAATGGCCCAATTGCTTGTGGGGTTGCAAAGGGAGAATAAAAACAAAAACTAAAGAAATTCCTCGACGTTGGGAGGGGGTGCAAGGTTCCCGACGAGTGGTTAAATTCCCCGACTAGGGTCCAAGCTCATCTCCTTCACACCGTTTAGAGCAAATTTTAAGACTAAGCACCTCAGATGCCCGGAACTGGCACTCTCAGACAGTAATGGCTTGTAGTGTTTCCCGACGAAATTTGGATTCATTCCCCAGCGTTTCCTGATGGGAGCAAAGGTGGCGCCAGGATTTTCTCGACGGGGAGCTGATGTCCCTAAAGACAGCAAAGTGGGCGTGGTCGGGCGTCGAAAAGCCCTGAATAGTTCGACAATTTGGGGGTTTCAAAGGCTTATTTAATCGATTTTAGTGTCTAAATATTTAGAAAAGACATAATTTTCCCCGACGAATTGTGCTTATGACCCACTACGGGAGTGGGGCAGCTCTCCCCGAACGGAGTCCCCACTGGCGCCTCCACTGGCGCCCCCACCCCCATGGACGGAAGTCCTGTACCTGCCTGGGTTCCCAGATGAAACCGTTGTTTTTGAAAATAGGGGTTACGAAATCATTCACCCATGTGCAGGCGAGAAGCGCCAATTTATTTAGCAACTTTAAACAAAAAAGTAAATATACAAAAACGGTTTCCTACCCCAATACAGATGTTACCGCTACCGCTTCCACTGAATTTGTCAGAATCATCTATCAACAAATAGTAATAATAATAAGATACAGCAGTGATTAAAATGGAATATTTATTCTGATAATAAACAGTAAATGAAATATTAACTGATACATCTATATAAACAAGAAATTAGCAACAACAACCAAGTCACAATCTAGTAGATAGCGAAACTGTTTACACCCAAAAAAGTAAGCATACAGGTTTTAAGGAAATTATTCAAAAATTTTGCTACATTTTAGAATGTAACCAAACCTATGATCGTTGTTGCACTTCTCACTGAGAATTGTGCCTCTGATACAAAAGAGAGACAATTATTAGAATAATAAACAAGTTATCGTAATCTCGAAAGTCCTGATGAGGGCAGTATAATAGAGGCAGTAGATCTAAAAAAGATTTATTAATCAACTTTCAATCAATCAACCGAGTGTTTCTAGAGCTCCTCATGAGGGCAGTATAATAGAGGCAGTAGATCTTAAAAAGACATATTAATCAATCAACTATTAATCAATCAGCCTCATGAGGCAGTAGATCTAAAAAAAAGATATGTTAATCAATCAGCCGAGTGTTTCTAGAGCTCCTCATCGGAGCTAAAAAATCCAATTGTGAACAACAACAACAACAAAAACAACAACAACAGCAACAGCAACAACAACAACAACAACAACAGTTTCGCTAACTACTAGATTGTGACTTGGTTGTTGTTGCTAATTCCTTGTTTATATAGATGTATCAACAATAATACAGGCTACACCATGAAAAAATAAAACCGATGCACTGTCTTCAAAAATTACCAACACCTCGTTTTTTAAGTGAGAAGTAATGTAATTCTTACATATAATATTGGAAGAGTCAATTGGGAGTAGGGAGACCTGTTATGAATTTACCTCTATTTATGGATAAAACCAAAGATAATAAATAGCAGAAGATAGAGCAGCTTTCCAATTAGTGGAACATCCGTTCAAAAGGCATTGTGGGTACACGGAGAGCAATTTTACTGTAACCGCGCGGCGGCGCTATATAAAAATAATAAAGGCGCTGCTCTTGTTCACTTGTTTCCTTTAGTTTCTCCACTTAGTAAAAATGTCCAAATTTTACTGCAACCGCAGGAGGGCGAATCCATCGATTTTAATGCAAATACACGGAGCAACTTATTCTTCTGCTATTTAAGTTCCTTGATAAAACTTACACACAAAAGGAGAACACCTTTTTATCCGGAGATGCTCAAAAAGTATTTGGATTTGTGAGACATTAATGAATGGGGAATTCAGAAAGTGCGAAACCATTAAAAAAAGAAACCATTTATCTGTTTAATTATAATAGGCCTACATATTATATAAAAAGTCTCAAATTTTATAGTCTTACCATCTGGAGCCATGCAATCCATTGAAGACGTACATTTGTGATATTCAACCGAGAAACCTTTGCAATTGTAAGCTGTAGCTCCTTTTGGGATAACACACTGACGATTACGCTGTTGTCGTTTGTATAGGAGACACTCAGAACAAGGCGACCAGTCTGACCAACTACTCCAATAGGCAACTCCTATGGAAATACATGTTACAACTGTTTAGAAACCTCATAGAAACTATTACATTTTATGTTTATGGGCTATCAGTGGCGTATCTGTGGGGTGCGCGGGAGGGGGCGCACTCTACTACTAAAATATTCGCTCCCCCCCCCCCATGGAAAATGTTAGAAGCAAAAAAAAAAAAAAAAAAAAATCACGTTGAAGTAAAAATCCCCTCGAATGACCTTATTTTGTGAGCTTCCTATCCCTAATCATTGAGCCCCCAAATATTGTGCTCTTTTATTTTTATGCTACTTACTGTAGATCTATATGATACCGTAGTTTAAATAAACTGCATTTTGCACAACAGAACTGTTTAGAAGATCAAAATTAGAGGAAAAAATATACACAATTTATACCTATACATACATACTTAAAGACCCCTACATTCGAAAATGATAAACAATGTGAGGCTATAAATAGTATTAGGCAGTAAATGAAGGTTTTTACGCACATTGAAAACGTCAAATATTCACCATATAAGTTTGCTTGCCGACTTCGAGGGCGGCAACTTGCCGCCCTCAGAGTTAAATAACAAAAATACGGTAAACCTGGTCCTTCCCCCAATAATGTTCACCTCTGCTAAACCTTTGAGGCTTAGACAGTCGTGAGATAAAATCCTATTAGGCCTACTATAACACGAATTGGATCCATGACATTAGGATTGACCACCAATCTATAAAACTCCACCGTTAACGGCACGCCATACCGCATTGTGCTTATTCAGTTTAATGTTAACACACTCTTTCATGTCACTCACCAATACATTCTATACCCGAATGGCAGGTTTTCTTCTCTCTAGGATCTCCAGTACAAGATTGGCCATTGTATTGAGGTTTCGGATTATTGCATCTTCGTGTCCGCACATTTGTACCATCACCACAAGTCTTACTGCAACCGGACCAACGTCCCCAATTACTCCATTGACCGTCGACTGTCAAAAAGAAGAAAAAAACATGATTAAACTTGGGTGTGGGTGGCGGGGGATGGGGGATGGAGGGGAAACTATCTTCCACTTAAAATCGTTCGACTAAAAATATTGGTTTGCCCATCTTGGCCTAATCAGAGATACTCTGATTGCTTTCTAATTGGGGTCTATCGTATTCATTCATGTCAACTTGGCCTTTAATCGACTCGGAACATACCGCTCGGCCCTTCACCAACTCGGTCCACGAACCAACAACTCAGCCCTTGTTAACGCGGCCCTTGTCAACTCAACCCATTACCAACTCGGCCCATAACCAACTCGATCCATGTGTATGGGCAGAGTTATGTATGGTTATGGGCTGAGTTGGTCAAGGGCCGTAGAGTTGACAGTGGGCCAAGTTGACTTCAACCTTTAAAAGCATTAAAAGCAATTTACCTACAATAAATTGTTAAGGTTATCTCGTACATGTCGATAGAAGTGCTTATTCTTTATTACTATGCTAAATACCCGTATTGAATAAAACAAAATGTACATATTAATTTATATCAATGAAAGTCAACTAAATATTTTGAGGAACGGGTCTGGTCAAATATCGCACAGGAATGGCGATAAATAATAATTGTTGTATTGTAAATACTTATTAACATATTTTTTAAAAGCACAGAAAAAAGAAATTGACATACTTGGGCATGGACCTAGACCACAATTTTTCGTTTCTTCAGCTTCGCCGGAACATGGTTTGCCACCGAACTGCGCTGATGGACTATCACACTCTCTTTGACGGGTCCGCACAGCGTCATCACCACATGTTTCTGAGCAGGCAGAAAACGCGCGCCACTGTCCCCACATTCCATCAACTTCATAAGAAAAATAAAATAAACATTGTAATGAATAACTAATTATATTTGTTTTATCGATAATTATGAATAATCAAAGAAAATACTGATACTAATTAATTGATACTTAAGTTGGCAAATATGTGGGCCTATTTATCAATATCATAAACATCCAGAAGAAATTAGGCCTACGGAACGCATTGTATAATTCGTTGACAATAACAATATACTGTACTTACCTGGGCAATTTTTCACTTCAACACATTTTCCCTCCTCGATAGCATCTCCTCCAACTTGCAAACACGTCTGTCCGCCATACATTGGCACTGGATCGTCACATCGACGAGTTCTAGATCGAATACCTTCACTACACGTCTTCGAACAGCTTGTCCAGGCTGACCATTTAGCCCAATTTCCATCAACTTGCGGAGAAAAAATACATAGAGGTCATATATATATACATACATACATATATATATAAACAAATAAATCAAATAACAGTGCTCGAATGGAAACATGTTGTACTATCGTATCAAGCATAGCTTATCAACGAAAAGGGCCTTTATTTCAGTTGGGGTCATGGTAGAAGTGTCCTCGTCGCGGCCCTGGATAACGTTAATGCTACCACCACCATACGGCATTGAAGTTTTTCCAGACCAAGCGTGTCAAGAGATTCTGAGTAGGAAGTATATGCATTACCAAGAATACATGTTATGCAAACCCTCTTCTGAATTCTCTCTATGTTCTGGATGTTACCTTTAGTTAATTCGGAATCCCATAATGGGCACGCATATTCTATTCTAAGTAGATAATTTGTTTGCTTTAAGCCTCTGAACCCCAATTGGCTCTTAAGTGACTTACCCATGCTCATAACCCCTCCCCTTCTTTGTAGAAAGGGTTGGATGTTATGTGCAATATGCTATGATTATCTAACGTTCTATAATCGCTAATGTTTCTATAGCTAATGCCTTATCAATGCAATAAATCTCTTTAAATATTGGTTGTAAATGTAAGGGAGTATGTAGAATGTATTAAAGTCTACCTGCAGCCCGACTAAAGCCAATTCCCACATAGGCATAAACTTAAGTTACACATCAATAATTGAGCAATAAAACAATCAAAATCCATATAAAGTATTTACTTGGACATTCCTGAACAATAATACACGGCTCGTTTTCATTAATTCGACCTTTGCATTCTCCCCGTTCGCATATTCTTGTCCGCAAGCGAATTCCCTCATCGCAAGTTCGAGTGCAAACTGACCAGTCACTCCATTCTGACCACACTGCAAACAAATCGTTTGTTGTATCTGTTATTATTCTGTTGTTATGATTACATACATTATTATATTGTTGTTATAATAGAAAAAGTGTTTGAAATACAGGAACAAAATTACTATAATTTCCGCTGCAACTTTTAAGTGCTCTCTCTGAGTTATCACAGCTCAAATATTGAGGACGTATATCAGTAATTGCGAGGTATACATTGCTGAATGGAATCTTTGATACAAGAAGCTCCCTTGATCTAGCGGTATGACATGTACCAATGCACCCGGGGGTCACAGGTTCATATATAC